TTAAAGCACATTAAGAAAAACAAAACTACATACTGAGGTTATTTGGTTTATTAACATAAAGTATTCCTAATGCCCAGACAGTAACTTCTCCTTTGTTAGAGCCATAAATCTGTCTAATCCTGCATCACAAAGCTCATCCCTATCATCATCAACTCAAACCTCTACAAACTAAAGGGAATCTGGCATCTGTAGCCTATTATATTAGATCACAGTTGACAGAGACGGTGAGCTGTGGATTCAGAGACAACAGGAGAAAGAACAAAGCGTACTTATGAAGCCTACCTGGCTTGGCTGTCTTTTTCCCAAACGACAGTTTGATCTGACTTGATGATCCCACCTCAAAGTCGGGTTTGGAGGCAGATACGCGGACTCGAGACAGGGAGTCTCCTTGGTAACCAGAGGCTGCCCTGAGAGAGCTCAGCGCTTCAGGACTGAGCTCTGCTTTGCTGACCTGAATGATGAGACAGCAAACTGATATAAGCATCAGGTGAATACGCCCAGCTGGGAGCATTTTTATTTCCACCTGTGACGTGAAGACCCACAGAAATAACGTGTAGCAGCTAAATTCGCTGCTTAACTGGTGGACCCACAGTGAACTGAGGATTCCTCCATGTTCATACTAACACTCTGGGATGTGCAGGCACACTCAGAGCAGCAGTTATACCCTCCCTTATTAATCAGCACTGGTTAAGGTAGGATGCGGCGTCATGTCGGTGTAGCACTTTCCCTGTCCCTATTACACCATTATTGGGCTGGGAAGAAAGTGGCAGTGTAGCGTTTTGCCCAAAGTTCATCTTTTTTTAATCTCAGCAAATTAAAAAAAATTAAATAAAACTAAAAAGGTATGCAGGTTTTGGGGAAACCTTGTGACATGTGCAGAGGAGGATGGCAGGGATAAGATGCGATGGAGGCAGATGATGCTCCGTGTAAATGAGGAAGCAAAAATGACCATCAGGTCAAACTATTAACAATAATTAGACCTCCTCAGTAAGGGGATTCTCAGAAGCCAGCAACTGAAAGACCCATACCAACTTCTTTCTTCCTCACTCTTCAAGCAGCTGGAGACTCAAAATCTGTTTACAGAGACAAGCTTCCAGGAATTTAAACCCAAAACTAACTTCGGTGCCTCAAGTGCTCCGATCAGCTGGTCTAAGTGGAATAATGTCCTGAATATGCATGTTGCTGGAGTACACAGTTACAG